CCTAAAGGCAGAGTTCTTGTCCCAGGTGGAACAAGCAAGGCCACCCGACTGCTGCAGCTGTGAATGGAAGACAACTGGCAAGCTTAAAGGGGAGGAAGTGGCTTGTGGTGCTTCTAGGTTTTCCTGGTGGAGGTGAGACAGATTGTACCATGTCCTGTGGCAGGCCCAGAGACACCAGGGAGCTGCTGCACGCCTGGCAGCCTGCTTGCCCATCAGGATCCAGCCTGGCCCTGCAGGGTCTGTGTCTCTGTCCCTCCAGCCCCTCTGTTGGAGCAGGGAAGGGACAGCAGAGACAAGGGACCTTGTGGACCCCGTGTCTGTCTGGGGTCAGCACTGGCATGCTGGCTGTGTCACTGTGACAGGGAGATCCTCTCAGCAACACCTCTACCCTAGCCTTTTGGCGATGAGAGCGGGAGGAGAACATAGGCGAGGGGAAAGGAAGTAAGAAATAAGTGAAAGGGCTAAAGGAGAGGAGGTCCTGAAGTCCTGATCTTGGATTGGGTCTGAGACTCAGCAGTGCTGGAGACTGGTTTATTGTCTCCAGTTCAGCCACATCCCAGTTCCCTTGGCCTTTTATTCACCAGGACAAGCCTTTTTGGTCAGTGCTTGTGGCTGGGCAGCAAACAGTGGCTTTCTTAGGGGACAAGTATAAAGAGATCAGCCCCTCCATTCTTCAGAATGGGAGAAGATCTCCTGGAAGCAGAGGGCTGTGAAGTCTTGCAGATGGCACAACTAACACGGTGACCCAGATGTAGCTCCTCCTTCTGCTGTGCTGCCTTTCACCTTCTTGTTTTCCTGGGTGAAGGCAGGTGAGGTGGTGCGGAGGCTGGAGATCAAGCCAGGTCAGCTAAGGCTGGAAGCCTGGGGGGACACGAGTATCACAGTCTCCAGAGCAGGTCAGGAGGTGTTACCCTGAGGAAAGCACTTAGAAAGTGGAGAGTTATTGCAGGTCAGGGAGTTAGGAAGGCAGCTGAAAAAAATGTCATAGGGCAGGCAGGAGGGCAAAGATTTCAAGCAGTAACAGAGCTCCTCCACGAGGATTACCTGGGTGCATAACAGAGGGATGCTGCAGGCAGAGGGGCCCCAAGGAAAAGAGGCTTGTGGGAGAGCTGTTGTAAGGTAGAAATGGCAGAGGTGGTGTCTGAGGTGAGCAGATGCAGGCTTGTCTGTGTTGGATTGCTGTGTTTAGTCTCCATCCAGTTTTTCAGGTTGCAATAACTTGCGTTCACATGATTCGTGCAGTAGGTGGGATAGGTGACATACATTTTCCTCGTCCCTTTTAAAGGGAGTTAAATTTATCGTCACTTAAACTGCTGTGGGTCCATCTTAATTTCCCATTGGTGCATGCTGACAGATTCCCAGTGGTGGGTCACAAAGTGGGGCAGCTCTGGTGGGGCTCTGAAGCTGCAGGCAAGGTGGGGATACAGGGAACACAGAGCAGGGGGAACACTATGTTTGAATGCCACTGACTGCTGCCAGATGTTGCAGCATCTTTCCAGCTGGGGCAGAGCCAGAGTGAAGTTGGGGCGATTGTACGATCCTCCCTGCCATGGACAAAATCCTTATCTGCTCCATGTGTCCTACTCCCACTGCTTAATGTGCCCCCGACTCTTGTTGTACATATGCACTTGCTCCTGTTCTGATTGTGCCTCACTGCTTAAAGGATGGCAGAAAGGGTTACAGATGCCACAGAAGAGGAGGGTTGTGAAAACTTGCAGTGGAGCATCGAAGCTTATCTGCCTTACAAGCCAGCCTCAAATGGGAATTTGGAAGAAAAGATGTCCACATTTCAGGGATTCTGACTGTAGAGTTACCCCCCTGAGGTATATCAGACACCTTCACTGTTTTGGTGGGAGTTGAGACATGACTGCCCACCAGCTGAGCCTGTGACAGGGGAAGAAAAACAGAGTAGAACTGGAAAGGCTGGTATCTGCTGGGGAATGTGGGCACAGTTTAGTGCCTGAGAGCCATGCATGCTTGTCAGCCAGATCTCTCTCTGGATCTCTGTAGCCTTTTTTGTACTAGAAAACACAGGACCCAGGCTGACCTCCCTGCTGACTTCTGGGCACCTTGAAAATGGAGCAAGGGAAGGGGCTGGGCAGGTTCAATGTCCACACGTGCTGCCTGGCAGGAGGACACAGCTGATCTCCGCAGAGCATGCTGAACTTGCAGAAACCTGCTTCACACAGCAGTTTACATCAGGTCCAGATATTAGGTGATTAAGGAGCCAAAATTAGAGACAGAAAGAGATGTACGGTATTCAAGCATGTCATGTCCGTTCTCTGTGACTGGGGTCAAGGCAGGTCTTTTACTGGTTTAGTTAGGTTTACTTTAGCTTTTTGAAGGTCCCAGTGGGGAGAACAGGCCATAGGGCTGCAAGAGTAGGTTGCATTTTTTTTAGTATGTATTCTTCAGTGTTATTTTGATCCTCTCTTTGAACAGATTGTTGTCTGCCAACAACAGTTTAGGAACAATGTCACAGTACTGAGCAACTCTCATTCCTCTCAGTAGAAAGTAAGAATATGCTTGAGCTCATATAGGGGGTCATGACAATACTTTTACATTCTGGGCTGCAATATCCCAAGAGCTGTACCCCAGGGAGTGGCTTTGGTTTTCTTCCTAGTTTAGGAAGAGTGTCCTACTGGAACATCAGTTTCCCAGCCATCTAAGCACAGAAATTTGGAGTGCAACTCTAAAGGTCATTTTCTTGTTTCTGGTCTGGGCTAGATGGACAGAATCTGACATGTGTAGGTTCCCCGATAGCATCAGCTGTGCACATTCCCAGGAGGCAAGGGAGGGTTTATGATCCATAACTACACTTTCTTGCTTCCCAGCAAATTATTATTTGGTGCCAGAGGCTTCAAGTAAATAAAGACGCATGAAATCTAGAATGAACATGAACCACACACTGAAAATGCAGCATTTGTAGTGGCTCTGTTTAGCAGACCTAGCAGCCACCTGTGTCATGATGTCTGCTTTTAGTCCAGGGGAAGATCATGGATTGTCTAGCTGGTGAAACACTGGTCTGGGTCTCTGCATATTGGGGTTTGATTTACAGCTCCATCACAGATTTTTTGCTTGGGCCAAACCATATAATCTCTACATGCATGGTTCCCATATCAGCAAAATGGAGTTAATAATTTTTTTCCCTTATGTATGTAGGTCTTGAGATAGATCTTGAGGACACAGCTATCTCTTACTGTTTGTATACATACAATGTTTTCTACAGTGTCATCCTGATATAAGCTGAACCCTTTAGGACTAACTAAATCCTATTAATAATCCATCCCTAGCAGGCTCCAGGCTCTGAAGATCATGTCATCAGTAGTTTCATTTGTTCGTTTCTGCAATATTCTGAGCTCTGTGGGGTAAACTCTGGAACAATCTGGGGAGTGGCTGCCATGGGGAAGTAATTCCAGACCTTACACTGAGCCTGGCACAGAATGGGATGGGATTCAGGGAGGCTTGGGTCTGCTGCACAAACATCTGTTTGTCTCAGATAATGGTAACAGTGGTCAGACATGTATTTTACTACATTCACCCCACAGTTTCGGCTGTTCCCATAAATCTTGCATCAACATTTGATTAGGAATCAGTTGCAGATAAATATGTTATTTATGGAGTTTTGAGCTTCACTGCATTTTTAGGTCAGTTCAGGATTTAGGGTCTCATGTGACTGGCACATTGTCCTCTCTGTCTCTGATCCAGTGATTCTTCTGAAAGGCTGAAGAATGTGTTATCTGATAAGTCTTTGGACCTGTTAAAGGTGGTTTTGGCTCAGGGTCCCAAATTCCCAGGGGAACCTGAACTCTTGGCATAAGTTAGGCTGAATGGTTGCTGTGTCCTGCGCCTTTGTGACACAAAGAGCTGCACAGACCCTGCACCTAACATCAGGAAGAGTGCAGGGGACATTTCTTGACCAAGAGAAACTTTGAAGACCTGAAAATTATTGAGTCACTGAAGCACTGGGCTTTCAACTGAAAGAGAATATCCTGCAGGCAGTGGAGGAATCCTGCACGTGTTCTGTCCCCACTGCTCAGTGCTGCACAAATTGCTTCACTTCACATAAAAATGCTACAAGAACATCCTTCCCTTACACTGTCATGCAACTTATACCCAGTAACTTTCTGAAATTCAGAAGGATATCGTCTACTAGAAAGAGATATGTTTCTATATCAGCTGTCTGTTTCTGTCTCCTTTTCTTCATTTGTGTTACATTGTTCTTTCTTTCACAAATATTTATTTTGCACAACTGTTCCTTTCTTACATTGTTTTAACCTGCATCTTGGGTTTATCTTTTTTTTTTTTTTTTCTGTCATTCCTTCATTTTCTGTAAGACAGATATTTCCTTCCCTTATTTTTTGCTTCAGTAATTCTTCATCCCTTTTGCCATTTCTCAGTCACTGTCTGTGCTACCATGAGAAGATCTAGAAAAACAGATGAGAGTTAAAATAGGAGGAGCGCTACAGCGGCTGTAGTGCCAGGGCAGTGGCTGGAGTTAAGGAGTAGATCTAAACAGGCTGTACTCCCCCACCACCTATGCACACAACCTCCTCCCTTGAGAGAGGTTCCCGGGCCCACATCAATGTCTGTTGTAGTTCACCCACCCTTTGTGCAGCTGCTTGTTCTACAAACAGATAGCGCAGTGCTTGTTAAGATAGACTCCAACACAGGGTCTTATGAATCCGAAGGGGGATATAGGCAGCATTTAGGTACCTACACCTAAAAAACATCTTCCCAGAAAACCCACATTCAGTGGCTGTCACATAGAGGCAAATTTCTGAAAATACTGTATGCATCCCTCCTAGATCAGACATGACATGAAATACAGTGGTGATTAGGGTGTTTTTTTTCCAAAAGCCTCCTTGGGAAGTCCTTCTCACCACTGGAAGCAACTGCAGTGGTGGAGGCCCTAAGAAGTTACTAACTCCAAATTCTGGCTCAGGCAGTGGGGCACATCCCCATAAAAAGAATAATTAAGGATGTATTGGGTATGAGGCATGCAGCAGCCTGATTCCTACCCTACCTGGCATAGGTATGGTGAATCTTGGCTTCTAGTCTTTGCTCCAGTCATTTTTTCACCATAAGCATGTTTGAATTTATTAGGGAGAGCATATGTGTATCTTAAGGACTACCACAGGTAGCTATGAAACCTAATCAGGCGTTCAGAGCAGCATGGTGAGTGGGTTTGTCCTCCAACAGCAACTTGTGGATCCGTGAACACCATGTATAGGAATGCAGAAAAAGGGTCCCTTCATGGAGAAGCTGAACATGGGTCTTGTCTTCTGGGGTATTGCACTATCCATAGAGATACTCTGTTGATGGAGAGAAACAGCCGATTCTTTAGTAGTAGATGCTTTTTTTAGAAGTAAAGAGAGGCGTGAGTGCAGGTTCAGAAAGGCTAGAGGTTGCAAGGGAGGGGGGCACCTCCCAGCAGTGCTGAGTAAAGCAACATAGCCTGGAGAATGCTGGGCTTTACTGTTTTCCTCTGTGCCATTTTGTATTACAGCTCCCCTGAGTGCTGTCTTTTCGGATCCATAGTAGCAATATTCATCTTCCAACCTTCTGATTTCCCTTTAAGAGACTGAGAAAGTGCTTACACTGCAGGGCTCAGCATTGTGGCGTCTCTGTCTGGGATCTACTTTTAGTCTCCTTTTTGTCTCAGTTCTGCATACGAAAAAAGGCTCTTTCCTCCTTTCAGTGGGGTGCTGTGAAAAATCAAAACTGTGACGTGTCCAGATCCTGCAGTGCTGCAGACATGATGTATCTGCACACATGCCTCATGGCTGGGGGTGTGTGTGCAATTAGTGACATATTTTGAAGCATCTGACATATTGTTCTGCGATCCCCCGAAGACTGAGGATCTGGCAAGATACTGCTCTATACTATGTCAGGTTCCAACTGGCTGTACCAGAAGCGGGAATAACCCAGCAGTCCTTCAGCTGGGGACATTTGGCTCAAACGCACAGTCCCTGACATCACACCTAAACTCCCGTGCTCAGTCTTACTCAGCCAGGTCCTATTCAATTCTGGCATTTCTTTTACTTCTACCCACTAATTTCCCCTACTGTATTTCTGAGTGGAGGGTGTGTGGATGTCTCAAAGGGAGTTGTCTGCTCCTTGCTCTTACTTCTGAAAAATCTCATTCTGTCCCTTCACTCTCTCCATTGCCAAGGAGATTCAGTCTTCCAGGGAGGATGTCTGTCAGACTGACTGCTGCAAGGTATTCACTTCTTTAGGAATTCAACTGCTTGGGGATTGCAGGGCTGAGAAATGCACATATGTATGTGTGAGTAGGTGGGTCAGAAGGAGGATTACCGAGAGGGACTCTGTGGTATGCTGTGGGAAGGCAAAGACAAGAGCCCCACTGCAGCCTAGGAGAACCCATGAGGAGCGTGCAGGACCGAGGGGCCTCTGCAGAGTGGCTGAGCACAAGGACAATGACACTGAATATGCTCCGGCTGTCTAAAAAAGAAGTAGTCTCTCACCATATCAATCCCCTTCAATCCTCATGTTTCTGAGGCTTCCACATGTTGGTACTGGCTGTGTCTGCCAAAAAGCCTGCTTTACCTGGCCTCCCTCCCTCCCTCCCTCCTGCCTGGCACTGATGCAGCTGGTAGCAGGGCTGCTGCACTCAGCCTCTGGGCTGAGGACGTGAGAGACCCCACGGATGCAGTCCAGCTCCCTCCAGCCACCTTCTGTCTCCCAAAAGACATGTCAATAATCAAGGGAAGAGAAGGGCAGCTCCCCACCCCCACTCATGCTTTTAACCCTGTGGTGACCATAGCATCCTTTCCAAAGGGACTCCGGGACAGAAGTGAGGGAAGTACAGCTGCAGAGAGGCTGGGAGGAGGAATGGGGAGGCACAGGCAGTGAAAAATTATGAGGGAAGGAGTGATGAGAGGAAGCACGGATGGGGAAAGGAGGAGCTACTGATGAGTAGTGGGGTAAAAAGGCAGTACATGTCAAGGCAGGGAGTGTACAGAAAGATGTACACTGGTCAGAGGCAGATACAGCAATAGGTAAAAGGACAGACAGAGAAACTACAAAGGGATAGAAAGACACTGAAGAAAGAGAAAGAAGGGAAAAAGAAGAGAGATGGCCTGACCGGGAGAAGGTAGTAATGCAGGAGGTGCCAAGAGATGGCTGGAGGAGAGTTAGTGACATGCAGAGAGCGAGTCATCGAGCCAACGGGTACAAACATGGCATCTGGCCCCGACTGGGATGAGTTTTATAGAAGGGGAACTACTAATGTTTAAAAATGCTGCTTAGTGGGGAGAAGACCACTAGCTGGAGACCAGGTTTAAAGACTAGATGGATTCCTCAGCCTTTCCCTGTGGGTGGTTTCCCTTCTGTATGGCCCCTTGTAGCACTCGTGAGCTCTGTCAGTAGGCAGGGTGAATTGGACTGGCCAGCATGTAGTCCCTGCACTATGGCTCCTTGCTATCCTGGATCTGCCATCCATTTCTTTAGTTTCTGAGCTGGGGAATGGCCAGCTCTACTTATCTGTGTCATCAACAGAGGAATCTACGGTCTTCCTCATGCATCCAGTCTCTGCTTTCCCAGGTCCATTTCCCCATACTCACATTGTTTGCAGAGCGATAACAGACTTGGCAGGAGAGCTAATTCAGGAGTATAATCTCTTTCAAACAAAGTGCACCCTGTTCCCACCTGGTCAATTAAACTGGAACAAATCTGTGCAGAAGCACTGACCTGAGGCCAAGCACTTTCCCTCCTGGAAAGATGTAGATGGTTTCCCCCGTGAACACCACCTCAGTCCTACCTGGAGCTGTGGGATGGAGAGCTCATCCCCGCCATCCACTGCCTGTCTGCTCAGGTAGACCACAGCAGGGTTGGAGCCAGCCGTGTCTGGGCGATACACACCTGTACAATCCACCCCAATCCCTTGAAGGAATGACTCCAAGAGAGAAGCCCCTGTTGGAACAAGTGATGTAGATGCTTTATGAAGCTGTTGCTCTCATAGACCAAAAGACACAGAGCTGTGCTGAGGCTGTTTCCTCCCAGCTGTCCCACAATGTGTGTTATCTGGGGAACTCACAGCTGAAGCTTCTCAGTACTGAAAATATTTAAACCATCTCTGCCTCTAAGCCTATTCTTGAAGGAGACCCTGACCTCTCTGCAGCTGGCCTGTACCATACTGAGACACAGGGCCACAGTCAGAGCTGTTTCAGAGCAAACAAAATATTTTGTGGGCAGGACTCATGCTGGAGTAATATGGATAGGAAGGAGGGAGCCATACAGCCAGGACTGTGACCTCTCCAAGTTTCCAAAGCTTTCCCTGGGAGAGGCCTTGGCCAGAGCAACCATTGCTGCTGTGAGATTCCCGCAGCAACCTCTGCGGGGAGTTGCCACTGGGGAGGACCAAGGTCCTCTCCTTCCACTTAAGTGTAAGGCAAAGGGTAGCTGTGCAGAACAGCAGTTGTGGCCTACCCCGTGGCAAATGGTGATGTATAATATTACAAGTGTTGCCCTTCACACCTTGTTGGAAAAGTACAGATTTCTTTTGAGGATTTGGTTGGTAGTGTTAAGTTTCTTAATGTTTTCATCAAAACTCTTATCTCTACTGCTCAAGCTCTCTTTTTTCCGGGTTTTGAAACCTTACCACTGTAAAGAGCAATATTTTTTGCACAACAAAATACGAAGAAAAAAAACCCTCCATCATTACCTACAAAAGTTTCTGTGTATGATTTTATTTTACTTTTATTTTTGTTAATGTGAATGCTAATGTGAAAGTTAATGTTTGGTTTTGGACAAACTGTGTTCAGTAGGAATAAACAATAAAAATACAGGCTTTCAGATAGGGAACTGGTGAATACTGGTACACAGAAATGCATACATATAAAGAAATGTAGTAGATACATGATGCAGGCAAGCAGAGATATGCAAACACAAGCAAAAATACAGCTATATATTACGTAACATTCATATAAACGAGTGCATATGTACATACCTTTGTATGTATGAAGTAGCGTGTGTGCAAATATCTTCAGACGTTAAATGTATGCTCAGAAATAAAAGCATGTGCATATGTATATGGACATAAAGTAATACACATGTAGACATTTCAATATTATGAATTCGTGCACTGGTAATCTCAGACATGCTGGTATTTGCACAGGCATGCAATAGCACACATTACTTATCTGTTTATGTAGCAGAACATAAAGTTACTCAGATATGAACATTTTATATAGAAATCTAAGTGTAATACGGGCCCTAGAGTATCCTCCACCTGCCCATAGAAGCATACGGGATCGTTTGTGTACACAGCACCCTTGCACAACTAGGCTAGCTGCATGTAACCACTCTAGTTTTCATAAAGATGAGGAGGGCAACAGGCAAGCAGTTACACGTGTGTGTAGGAGTGGAAGTGAGCCGCGACAGAGTGCAGGAATGATGCTGGGGGAGGACGAAGGGTGTGTGGAGCACCCAGAGGGAGCAATGCAAGAGCCAGTTTGCATAAGCAGAGTGGCATCACTGAAGGGTGAGGAAGGAGGCTTGGAGGGTGAGGAGGGAGGCTGGGGAAGAGACAGCAAGCATGAATCAGGAAATGTGTGGTCTTCCTCTGGAAAGCATCGGTATAAAATGAGGAGGCAGATTAGGGGAGGCGCCCACCCTGGCTTGCTGGCACTCCATTTCCAAGGGGGAGCGAGGCAGGACTGCCGGGATGGGATGAAGAGGCTTGCATGCCAGGATCCCTCCTTCCCCTTTCTGGTGGCAGACCCTGCTGGCAATGCAGAGCGTGTGACTGGTTGCATAAGGCAGCTCTTCCTAGCGATGGGTTTAATCTCGTCTTTCCTCATCTGCTCTGCCTGGATCTCAGCACGAGAGTGGTGCGTGGTGTTTTAGAGCACTCTTCACGTAACCCTCTTTCTTGTCCTACCTACACCGGCAGCTCCTTGTGGTCCTGGCTACTAAGCAGCAAGTGTGGGGCACTGTGCTTGTGGGGATGAGGGAAGCACTGCCACAGGGCAGATCAGAGCATCTCCTGCTGGGAGAGGAGTGATAAACCCCTGTGCGCTAGACTGGTTTAGCCATTGTTAGTCCACGAGGTGAAACAAGCCCACACAGGGAGAGGGGGAGGCTCAGATCCTGCTGCCTGAGTGTTTCCAGCTCAACAGGAGCTATTTTTAGATTACAACAGCAAGGAGAACGGAGATGGGTCAGCCAGGGGCTTTGTTTCTTTCCTGTGAATCCTGCTGCTGTAATCACATGTGATCTCAGTGAGCCATTTTCACAGCCTCTGTTCCCCCCCACCCCCCCCAGGCTACAAACCCTTCATGCCATTGCTGAAAAATACAGTGTGATTCGGGCCAGGTACCTGGGAGTAGAATGTGGCTTGATGAGAAATGCCTCCAGACGTGGTGTTTGTGAATCCGGAGCTCTGCTTGTGCCTAGTTATGTGTCTGTCAGCTTGTTTCTGTGTCTGAGCTGCTGTGTCAACATACGTGTGTATTTGCTGGGGAGTGTGTATGTATAGTGGGTGGTTTTGACTCTGCATGCTGTATGTCTGTGTGCTGGCTGTGTGTGTAGTTCTCTCTTACTAATGCTGGGGTGTGAGAAGTATGCCTAAGTGGGGACAGGAGATAAGGTAGCCTCTGCTGCTGAAACGCCTCCACCCCATGCCATGGTGTGTAGGCCCAAACAGGCTCCATGTGCCAGCAGGCAGCATGCCCTACCACCTATTGCACTGGTGCTGGATTGACCAGGCTAGGCTTAAAATGCTGCTGTGAGGAAGCCTATGCTTTCTGATCAGTATCTGTGTGACTGGAACACTGCAGCTGGTTAAGCAGCTAGAGAACATTGTCTAGCTGAATTCGTCAAACTTCCCATCATCCTTTCGTCGGGCTGGCGTGATGCCCCGCACGTACCAGAGAGGATTCTTTTTATGCCTTCCAGAAAAAAATTGTTTCCGCTCCTTAAAAAGTAACATTTTTCCACCTGAATGTAGTATTTTCTTGAGAAATATGAAGTAAAGATTAGTTTTGTGAAGACTCATCAAAAACAACCTACTCATATATGTGCTGTTCGGCCTTTGGGAAAAGGAGAGAAGGGTCATCTGAGGTCTCAGCTGAATGGAAACCCTAATTCCCTCTATCCCGTACCTTCTGTTCCTCTGCAGGCCTCTTCATGAACCAGTTCTCAGTCCAACCACTCTCCTGAACTGGGTGTATTTTCCTATTGCTATGCTGCTGCTCAGGACATTGCTAGGAAATTATCTTTGTAATTTTATTCCTCAGTACATTTTTTTTTTCCTTTCCTTATGATGATGGTTTTTAAGTGAACTTCATCAGTCAGGTTGTTTTCTTATTTTGCCCTTCAAATTCAGTTTCTTGCTTAGGGTGGAGGAAACCATGGCGAGATGCAGTGGCTCATATGTAAAAAAACCCTCACCACAGATATTTTGGCCATAGCCTGTCGTTCCTCCCCTGCAGCCTCCTGCTAGCTCACTCCTGAGCTCCCATCACAGCTCTGCTGCTGCCTCCACCACCCCAGCTGCTGCAGCATCCCACTCCAGGACAGGGAGGTCGGCTTTGGGGCAGTTTTGGATGTAGTTGACCTGTTGCCAGTACATTCCAGAGAAAGAAGGCGGAAACTGAGAGAGACTGTAATAAGAGCAGTTGCTTATGGAAACAATATATTTACAGCATTCTTTGTGAGTCACATGCACATACTTCATTATTACTATTCTCAGATGTGGACCAATGTTAGAATGAAACAAGATAAATAGATAGCACAAGAAAAAGGCAAATGCACAGATCTATAGCTCCTCGCTTTGCTAGAAAGCCTGGTTGCCCAGGCACTATCAATCAGAAAAAAAGTAGGCTTGTGGCCTAGATGCTGGGCAGGAGTCTTTTACCAATCAGAGCAAAAGAAGAAAAGGCCTGAAGTGTTATAGGAAGTAGGACTAGGAAAAAATAGACGACTTTCTGGGGGTTGTCACGTCTCTCGCGTAGCACTGAGGTACAGGAAACAGAATTTTCAATATGATGCTACTGCTCGTGGTTTACTCGCCAGTGCTGGTTTCTACAGAACTATTCACTTTCTTTACAAAGTTTACTTCCCCTTTGCAAGCGAGTGCTAAAGTATTAAAAACTTTTTACTTTAGTGATTTGATTAATCAACTAGGTTAATTAGGAAAGTTTTCAGAGATATTAGCTCCAGCCTACATTTCCCCATGGTAGAGAGAGCAGAAGTTAAAGAAGACTTTGGTTTAATGCCATGATCTCTCCAGTGCTGTGTCTGTGCTCTCCTGGTTGAGAAATTCTCAATTTCTTCCTGTACCTCTCTCTGTGTGTCCATCTTTTTCATGTACTCACCTGTTCCCTTTTCCTCTGGTACTTTGCTGCTGCTTTTTCCTTCCTTTTCTTTTATTCCTTTGCCCTGCCTTTCTAATCTGTTCTAGTGCTTTCTTTCTTCACCTCGTTATGCCTTTTCCTTTCTTTTTGTTTTTGCCTTCTGTCTCTCCCTTAGTTCTCTTCTCACTCTCTTAACATCCTGTTGTGTACAGGCCAGCCTACTCCCCACCCATCCTCTTGTTTCTCCTTTCCCCCACTCCTTCTCAGCTTCTCTCAACAATAAAAGTTACTCATGGCTTGTGGGGGAAGCATCTGGCCCATGCTGGCTCTCATTCTCTCTCCTTTGTTCTGAATGCTCTTTTGTTATAAACACAACAAACAGAAAAGCACAAAATCATCTCTCAGGGCAAACACTGCATAATAATCCTTCTTGTCCCTGCTCTCCTCTTATCTCTGAAGAATTTGTTCTCCAGGCAAAATAATAATAAGCATGAGAAAGAATTCACTAAACTTGGAGGGGAGAGTCAGGAAAGAGCTTCATCATATGGGGCAGTACTGCTGAACTGAAAGCCGGGCAGTGTAAGCAGCTAGTGTAAGGTGAAATACAGCTTTCCAGGAGCTTGGATAGCAGAGTGATGACCCTGTTGGCCAGTCTCTGTTCCCATTAGGTTGTGGAGGCATGGACAGGATAAAAAAATATATTTTTTTTTGTTAACACAGAATTTCTTGTACTGTCTCCTCAACTGTCCCTTGAGCCTTGTGTATATGAACTGAGTTTGCTAGAGAACTGTACCTGTTGGAGCTCCACTGATGTTCTCAAAAAGCCACACAGCAAGGTGCTTCTGTGGGGTCACTTGCCAGCTCCAGTCTCTGAGATAAATTAAGAACAGACTTGCTCATTGTTTGGGCTCTTAATGCTAAATACACATTCTCTGACTAAAACAGCTTTCCTCAGAAAATGTGAGTTCCCTGGAAATGAAATGTTAGTTGCAATCACTAGTTTAGACATACTCAAAGCTAAGAAGAAAGATTCTTAAGCAAGAGATGATCTTTTTTCAATCCCCATACCTCCATGGTTAGGATACTGGTTTTTAATGTGGGGCAGCCAGCATCAAGTTCTACCTGCAGCCGGTTCTGTATGGCCCTTCTCTTAGAAATCTTGTGTCTGGCTGGCCACTGGCAACCTGCAGTGGGCCTCCATGCTAGTGCAGTTAATGCACATTGCATAATACATGTCTATTATATTCACAAACAGACGAGGTGGATGGTTTTACTTGGTGCAGTATCAAATTGCTCTGCTAAGAAGGTACTTCCCCCAACAGCTGATCTTCAGAAGAATTATCTGTGATGTGGGGGGTAGGTGTGTGTCCTAGGACAGAAGCAAAACTGATATTTAGGAGGAACAGGCTGTGATGCAAACTTCAAATCTAAATATCTGAGCATCAGCAGATGAATTCAGACTGAGGCAAAACTCACTGAAATGGGAGGGTGGGGTATTTTCCCCACATTCCATAGGGAAATTTGGGGTTTGGTGATGCATTTTGAGCTCGTGTCTCTTTCTTACTGCTGTTTACTCTATGAGCTCCGTAGATAAAGAAG